ATTAGTACTGTGTCTATTAAGTTCATACATTTTATAAACTCACGCTTTTGTCTATTGAGGCTAGGCAGAAATTGCAGCGGGCCGACCTAGTATCATCCTTACATACTTCTTTATCTTCTATCACGTCAACAGCCTATAACTGGCCACTGCTGACCGAGGCCTCTCACACGGAGAAGGTTTTGATAATTAATCACCACGCTAGCTCAATATCGATTGGCGATTTCAAACTTATAATTAGAAATTATAAGTCCAGGTTTCCTCGCGATGTTTTCCTTCACCGTTTGTCAGTGGTGTCTAGATAATCTTAGAAAGTACATATAACTCGGAAAAAGTCATATTGGTACTTGCCGTTGGTAGGTTTTGAACCCGCACATGTATGAGAAGCGGGCGTCTTAAACCTTCGGGTTACCACGACATTATGCACTTCTAGCACATTCGTACGTACATCAGCTCATACAAAACACATAACAAAACACATTGGTCTATTTGTCACAAGTACGGCCACCGAACAACAAAATCTTGGTTTTGATTCTCGAGTCAAGCAAGATTTATAAAAGTCTCAGTAATCACGGAGTCTGGAAATATGTATAACATTGAATTCATTACACAAGTGCCTCTGCTTACCCTTTCAGTGGCAAGAAATCTTATTTTTATATATATAATTCTTCTGTGAGTGTGTATGACACTGAAACGACTGGACCGATTTTGATGAATTTTTTTATTTGTGTTCAAGGGGATCTGGGAATTGTTTAGATTCACAAATCAGCCCGGCAGATGGAGCTGCATTCGATGTTTAGGTTATTTATCCTAAACAGCTGAACTAATTTGAATGAATTTTTGTTTATGCAGGACAACGTCTGTTGGGTCCGCTAGTACTATTATATAAAGCCCGGGAGTTTGTTTATTTGGACGCGCTAATCTCAGAAACTACTGGACCGATTTGAATAATTCTTTTTGTGTTGGATAGTACATCTATTAACTAAGGCTATAAAACATCACGCTACGACCAATAGGCGCCGAGCAGAGAGGGTGAAACCACGGAGTCGTAAAATACTGTTATGTCCCAACAGCCTAGCGTGTCTAAGCTAGCTAAACAATAATAACATCTAATTATTTAAAATTATCTCGAGACAGATAATATTTGCAGAAAGACAACTGAGAGTAAAAGTGATGGACAACATGAGATAAAATACTTGAGGCTCCATTATAGAGGTATCTTCACGCGTAATACTAAAGGTGAACGGACTGACAGACAGGTCAACATGTTGTTCGTTACGTAACTTTATACAGCTGTTATAATTTAAAGGTTGTACAGACGTTTAAGTTTTTTATAGGATACTAGCGACCCGCCCCGGCTTCGCACGGGTGCAATATGTATATACATACATACAAACCTTCCTTAAGAATCACTCTATCTATTAAAAAAAACCGCATCAAAATCCGTTGCGTAGTTTTAAAGATCTAAGCATACATACGGACATACAGCGAAAGCGACTTTGTTTTATACTATGTATTGAAGTCGGTAAACGAGCGGACGAATCATCTGATGGTAAGCAATCGGCGTCGCCCATGGACACAAGTGCGTTACCGGCCTTTTGTGGATGAGGAATTTGAGGAAGGTTCGGGATTCAGGGATTAGTGAGATTGGATTGGGGGGGGGAGATAATTTGGCCTCCGGTAACCTCACTTACACGACGTAACACAACGCAAGCGTTGTTTCACGTCGGTATTCTGTGAGGCCGTGGTATCACGCCGGTCGAGCCGGCCCGTTCGTGCCGAAGTATCGCTCTCCCACACTTAAAATGTTAATGTAATCCCAATCAATTGGTAATAGATTCATTTATTTTTAAACTAGTTAACCGACTTCAAAATAAGAAGGAGGTTCTGACTTTGAGCTGTATTTAAGTATTTATGTTTGTGCGCGATTATCAATTCACATAAAAAAGGATTAAACGTATTTAAATGTTATTTCTGCGCTATTAAAGTATTAAAAAAAACAGCAAAGATTAGATAGAAGAATAGATAAGAAGAGAAAAGATGCATGTCTATGCATCCGCACATTATACTTTTTTTTAAGGGGGAAAATCATCGACTGTCTTCTCCCGCCTGGGTGAGGCGGGAGGGAGTGTCAGACTCTTACTGACTAAAAACCACCCCGTTCCTACTCCTGCACGTCGAGCCGGAGCCCCGGTACCCCGTTAAGTTCTCCGCGGCTCCGTATCCGCACAACACTACATTATACACGCTCTCAAAGGCAGACAAAAATTATTGAAGTTTGGCTATCTATGAAGTTTTTTTCTCTATTTTCTCTTCTCCGTTATTGCTGTTAATATTCTGAACTAACCAATAAACTTGCAGTAATGCCTACGTACTTCTGTTAATTATCTACCATCCTATTTTCACTATAATACCATAAGTTTGAACTATACTCACCACGGTAACACTTTTTATGAAACTATATTATGATACATTGCGGTGCACGTTCATCATTTTGTATATCATTAATATTTCAGGTGACCATTGATGTTGAGTTTCTAATAAGTAAAATTGTATTAGTGAAGATTTAAACATTAAAGTGAATTCTTTTTTTTTTAATAAAACGTTGCCCCACACTAGTATTTTCCCCTGTGTCGTGGGTGCGTTTACAAACATACAAGTTCACATGCACATGATGACATGACGCTCAGACCCGAAACAACAATCTGTGGATCACTCAAAGAGTTGTTCCGTGCGGGTATCGAACCCGAGACACGCGTGCAGTCAAATAGTAAACTTGTTTGTGGTTCCAATAAATAAAAAAAAAGATTAGTGATGTATTTAGTAATACAAATGTTTCAGTCGAAACACTCGATTTCATTCGAGTTTGATCGAGTGCCGCTGCATTAATTTTATTGCCACTTCATTAATGTGTTAACGACTGCGATGAGATCTGAGATAATAACTTCATTTTATAGATGACTAGTTTTTGTCCGCGAGTTCTTACACTCGGTAAGATAGGGTTAAATAGGGTAGATTACTAGTTTTTATTTTAATGTCCGTCTGGTAGATTATTTAAAAACATTACACACGTATTTTTTATTTTCTTATGGAAACGAATAGTTTCGAAGATATATTGATTTGAAACGACGTCACTTTTATGTACGATTTGTTTATACTGTATCTAAAATGACGTAGCTACCTCCCACTTCTATGATTCGTTTTATCAAAGTATTGATTTCTTATACGACAAAATACAAAAATACGTGTCTAATATTTTTTCATTACCTGACGGACTAATTAGATTTTTAATTTTCATACCCTGTCATCATTGCTATTGTTGGGTCGGGATAAGTAGATCATTATTCAGGTTTTTAAATTGCAGCACTAATAGCGCAATTACTCCGTACCTATGCAATGATCTGTCCTGTTTAAGGCAACAGGAACATTGTTTTACTTATGTAAAAATAGTTAGCATAAAGTGGTGAAGACCTGTGGTGATTTTTTTTAAATGTTTTTGATTTTCTTTATGATGGTAAGTGGTTATCGTGAACTATGAATGTTTCGTGACTAGGTTCCATGACTAGATTCATGAATGTGATAATTATTTCGAAAATCCTTCTGTGTTCTTTTTTTGCTCTTT